CATTGGTGGGGATGGGCAGGGGTCAGAATCTACTCCTGCCCTTGGCTCTGGCTGGAGGACCCCAGCTAGCAAAGTGAAAAGTGCAAGTTGTTCAGTTGTGTCTAACTCTCTGTGACCCCATGGACTGCAGCCTGCCAGGTTCCTTTGTCCATGGAATTCTCCAGGCAAGAATACTGGAGTGGGTTCCCTTCTCCAGGGGATCTTTCTCACCCAGGGATGGAATCTGAATCTCCCACATTGCAGGCAGATTCTTTACCGTCTGAGTCACCAGGGAATGGGCAAAACAAAAGCCCAGGAGAAGGCCTGCTTCTCGCACCAGGGGACCATCGGACTGCCTGCACCAGCACCGCAGTGAACTTGGAAGTGCCTGTAGCAAGTTTTAGAAAACATCAAAAACAAGCTGATAGAGCCTGAGTTGTGAAATCAACTAGGAGATGAGCTCCAAGATTCCACCAACCACTCTCTGCTTTCTCTGGTCTGGGCAGTCCCAGGCCTGGCTCTTCAGGCTGGCTCTCATGGTGAGTGGACGAGAGACCCTGCACACAGCACACATGCTCTCTGAACCTCATCTCCTACATCTGTGAAATGGAGATATTTTCTGTTACCCTCCTGTATTCCACTGGTTTTTGTAAGCCATGCAGTGCCAGATGGACTGAGGGACAATGAGCTTCTGAGAATTAAGAACTTGAGGCTGCAGGATCCTCAGAGCTGATTGAACTGGAATTACCAAGTCAAAGGCCTTCATACCTTGTGGATTGACTTTTACACAGAAAAGGGTCAAACCCATCTAAACATTCATCTGAAGTATAACTTCTCATCTGAAGTAGAACCTGTGGGGAAGACTTTTTAAAAACATTTAAAATTTTTTAATTCATGTGGACAGATGTTTCCATGAGTACAACAAAAGTTGCTAGAAAAATGCAATGAAAAAAACATGTTCAGACATAAATTACTCATCATATTGCCATAAATGTTTATACTCAGTTTCTGTACTTGTCTTGTGGCAGATGGACAACAGTCTGAGAGGCTACACAGATGCCCAGCTCACACTCTGAGTGGGACTAATCCATTTGTGCTCAGTCGTGTCTGACTCTTTGTGACCCCGTGGACTGTAGCCCTCTAGGCTCGTCTGTCCATGGGATTTTCTAGGCAAGAATATTGGAGTGAGTTACCACCTTCAGGGGATCTTCCCGACCCAAGGATCATACCTGCATCTCTTGCATTGGCAGGTGGATTCTTTACCACTAGCACTACCTGGGAAGCCCTGGTATTGATCCATCTTCTCACTATTCTGCATGGACGAGCAGCACTGCCAACACCTGGGAACTTGCTGGAAATATAGCATCTTTGGCCCCATTTGATCTTGCTGAATCAGAATCTGCTTTTTAACAAGACACCCACGTGATTCACATGCATGTTAAGGTTTATGGTGACACGGAGACAGCTGGGACTCAGGAAACATTTCAAATGAAGGAATTAACCAGAACCTCTCCCCGCATTGCAATTTCTCATGACACAACAGCTGATGGCATAACATTCTTTTCTAAAAATTTTTAGCAAGTAAATCTGTGTGAAGTTATCCACTTTATTAATTCCAACTGGAAATAAACCTTTCAGTCAACCATGCCAGGATAAATACTGAATTATATTTCTATCCTCATAGGAAATGGGAACACAAAATCACTGTCAAATGAAGAGATGATGAAAAATACACAGCCAGAAAATGTAGAAAAAATATTATCAAGGAGTGTTAGATGATTAATAAAAATGCTATTGTATTTTTACTTTTTTACATTTGTGAGACTTTCTTTTAAAAAACATGTAATTTGTTGTGATTCCTTTTCTCATTCTAAAAATTACTCACATTCACATTCAGTTTTGCATTCATAGGTTTGAAGACCCATTGCAGGAAGATTCTTTACCATCTGAGCCACCAAGGGAGCACATTGAAGACCCGGCTCCCGACTTCTTTGTTTCAAGCCTTATAGACCTATGTCCCTGCATATTTTACTATATTTAATATGTATTCCCTGCTGTGGTCAGTGAGATTGAATTTCCTCTGTTAATTAGCCATTTATGCTGCTTCTTTTGAGAATTGCTTTTTCTTTATCATTTTTCTATTGAAATGTTTTTGCCATTTTCTTATTAGCTTGCAAGAGTTCTTTGCCTAAGGATACCAATCTCTTCTCTGTTATGTATAGCATAACCTTGTTCTTAATGAGCAGGACCAGATTCATAGTTTTTAGGGCCCAGGACAAAATGAAAACATGTGCTACAAGGACATATTGTACAATCAGGGAACTAAAACATTATTTTAAAAGTATAAAATGGAGTATAACCTTTAAAAATTGTAAATTATATTGTACATCTATAACATATATTGAACAACTATGATTTTAAAAAAAGAAAATGTGAGGTCCCCTTAAAATAATCATTTAAGACTTCAAGATGGTGACAACCGAGCCTGGGGGCTTTCTGAGTGTGAGGCCCTGTATGGCTGACCCCGTGGGTGCTGTGCCCATAAAAGCTGGCCTTACTGATGAGACAAGAGAAGGCCAGATCATTCTGGATTTACTTGTGCCTTGCTAAGGTAAGTTATGTGGACCTCCTGGGTGGCTCAGACGGTAAAGAATCTGTCTGCAATGTAAGAGACCCAGGGTCAATCCCTGAGTCGGGAAGATCCCCTGGAGAAAGGAATGGCTACCCTCTCCAGTATTCTTGCCTGGAGAATTCCATGGACAGAAGAGCCTGGTGGGCTATTGTCATGGGGTTGTAAAAAGTTTGACATAACTGAGTGACTAACACTTTCATTTTTCAAGGTAAGTTATGAGTTTCCTGCTTCGTTTTATTATCAATCATAATTAAAAAGCACCAACCCACATCCTTTTCAAAGTTTATTTTTCTTAATATGCAAATAGAAATGGTTTCCATAAATGGCTTTTATTCCAGTGTAAAGAATTCTTTCCAAAAATACAAATATGTATGTGTCTATTAAAACATGACTGGAAGCTCTCTATAGGGAAAGACAACTTGTGTTCATTTACTTTATTGACAGTGTACAGATTTTCATAGACTGCATTACAATACTGACTGCTAGATGTCTTATAAAGGTTTAGTTCATATTTACTCTAGATTTGTCTTCACAATAAGAATAAACTCATGCCAGTGTTTAGAAATCAATAGTAGCAATTCATTCAAATTTAATGACAGTTTTATTAAACTAAGAATCTCATATCACAGAGCATTCACAGTGCAGGAGGTCACAGTTATTGAAAAAATAAATAGTGGGATAAATATATTTATTATTTACAACTTTTCAGCTCATGGCTCCTGCTTTGCCCATTAAAGATGATGAACAAAGATGGCAGCATGCCAGAAATGTCTTACTCTGGTGATGTGTAACAGCCTCAGAAGTTTTGGGTTTTGGTTGTTTCTAAGGGGGGTTCCTTCTGGGCATGAGAGCTCCAGTTCTATCTACCTGCTATTTGTTAGGTCACACCTGAGCCCCAGGAAGATCCCGTGGCCCTGTGGGGCCCTGGGCTGGGTCAGGCCTTCCCTGCCCGTTCTCTGGCAGCTCCTGCATCTGTGCATGAGCCCGGCCCCATCTGGCTGGCAGCCCTGTTTCCTCTCTAGGTAATCAAGGCTCTCTTTGTATTCAGACACCCAGCAACTGCTCTGGGCTGGCAGCAGCTGGATAGGAGACACCCACAGAGGGCAGGCACCCTACCAGGGAGCGTGTGCTCCGAACTGGACACCCAGCCTCCCAGACTAGCAGCCCCCCAGAGGAGGCTCCCTTAGACTTGGCCACAGACGATTAGCCACAGTTCTCTCCCTGGGCCTCCAGATATTCTTGGTCCAGGCAGGTGGAGAAAGTGCCAGGAAGTGTCCCATGGGTTCAGAAGGGCACCTCTGGAGGTGAGAGCAGGGATGCCCTGGCGGCCAGTGAAAAAACCCACCAGAACATCTGATTTGGAAAAACAGAGCTGTCTCGCTCACATCCCAGCCATTTTCGGTGGGAAGAAAGGCCTCGCTCCTATTGAAAGGGGACTTCACGTTCGTCAGGATACTCCCAGGTGTCTGGGACTTTCTGGAGTCGGGGTGTGGGGCTCTGTTGTCTGGGACCCCGCTTTATGCACAAAGGTTGACCAGACCAAACCACACACCCAGAGACCAAAAGCTGAGCATACTTTCAATAGTTTAAAAAACTACGTTTTTCATTGGTGGGATGGGGAGGGTACACACTTTCTCCAGGATTAAGGGCTTTATTGGCTGCTACTGTGGATAAGTCCCAAACAACGTGCTACATAAAAAGCAACTGTCTGAATTCTGGCAATGGAGGGAATAGGTGTGGATAGGACTGCATGTGTCATAGGGCTTTGAATAAAGCAACAGACCCATAAATCTAACAGTGGACACCACAGCAGCAAGGGCTTGACTTTCACATGGGTTCAGGGAGCGTTTCTAACTGTCAGAGCCACCTCCCATGACCCTGGGTCTGTATCAGGGTGTCCGGGCAGCAGACGTTTTCCTAGATTAGAAGACGGTAAGTTCTCAGCCCCTGTTATGAAGTGTGTGGAGGATCCACCTTGACAACTGGATGCCAACACCATAAGAGGTGATGGAAAGCCTGGAAGCTTCTGCAGGTAAAAGATGACATGAGCATGCCCCCCAGCAATGCATGAGGATTTAGCAGAGACCAAAGGAACCTGGGAACTAATGGTCAAGTGAAAAGTTAGAATTTTTTTAAAAACCCCATAGAATAATCAAAGCTCTAATACAACCTAGCTGGCTTCCCTGTTGTAATGGAAGAAACAGCTCCTCCTGGGTGGCGAGATGGGAGAAAACACCTCTTCTCCCGATTTCATGCAGGTACCATTTCCTTGAGGTCGAGCAGCACGTGACTTTGGATACTGACCCATCAGCTATGAGGTCTGGAATTAAGCGCATACTAAGCTAGTGTCCCAATTTGGCTTTCCCTATTAAGAAGCAAATGCAACAGCCTAAATGGACTGTGCCCTTGGGAGAACAGTTCTCTGTGGCAAGGTGAAGGGGCTCCATAAGAGCCAGGTCACAAAAATCTGCCTCCCACCCATGTCCTTGGCCTTGGAGGGTGGGCCTATGCCAAGGTGCTCTTGTTCTACCACCCACATGACTGACACAGTACAGGATAGGCCCCTTCTATATGCCTCCAGAAGGTCCTGAGGGCATCTTTGCACTTGAGGGGCTCCTGCGACCAGCTGCAGAGAGAAAGGGCTCATAGCTGGAGGGGTGCCCAGACACTTGGGGTGAATCCACATAGAGGGCAGGGGCGAGAGGCAGCACCTTGGGTCCAGGAATAAATGGGGGATGACGCTCTTCCTGCCACTCAAGAGCTGCCCAGAGAGCATTTTCAAAAATGTCTGGAATGAGCACCATGTGGTGACGAAGCTGCTGAGACGTGACCCATCTCAGGGATCCTGAATGCATCTGCTAACTGCCCCAAGGGGAGGAAGACTCACACAGAAATGATGTTCAGAGGGCATTAGAGGGACCCGGAAATATAGACTGCAGCCTGCCATGGGATTCTCCAGGTAAGAATACTGGAGTGGGTTGCCATGCCCTGCTCCAGGGGATCTTCCTAACCCAGGGATCGAACCCATGTCTCTTATGTCTCCTGCATTTGGCAGGCGGGTTCTTTAGCACTAGCGCCACCTGAGAAGCCCATATAAAACACAGTGAAAGTGAATTGAAAGTTGCTCAATCGTGTCCAACTCTTTGTAACCCCATGGACTATATAGTCCATGGAATTCTCCAGGCCAGAATACTGGAGTGGGTAGCCTTTCCCTTCTCCAGGGGATCTTCCCAACCGAGGGACCCAGGTCTCCTGCATTGCAGGCAGATTGTTTACCAGCTGAGCCACAAGGGAAGCCCTTAAAACACCCAAATCTCCCAAAGATTTTCACCCTAACCAGCAAGTTCTTTGTTTATTCAAGCAACAAACATTTGCTGAGAGCCTGTCATATATGCTGCACAACCATCTTTTCCCACCAGGGAAGGAAAGGTGAGGCTGAGAGACAGGCCAAGCCCAACCCCTAAGGACCCACTCAGTGTCAGGGCGGATGGGGGGGCCACGAGCTCACTGGGCAGTGCCAACCTGAGCCAAAGAGTCTCTGCTTTACTGTCCTGTTCCAGACCTTGACTCCGCTAGCGCATTTCACACCTGGGGAAGGAGAGGGGGGATGGACCCTCTCCCAGTCCATCTTGCCTCTGTCCACCCCCACCTTAAGGACAGGGAGGGGCCCTAGAGCTCAGGGAGGGAAGATGCCAGGAGGAAAGGAGGGCATCAGGCCAGGAGGCCCACACTCTTCCTGGATTCCCAGCCTGTGTGTGGAGCCTGGTGTTTCCTGAGGGCTGAGTGCCCATTGATGCTACAAGGCATGCAAATCCTCCCCAAAAAGGAAGAGGGGGACTTCCCTGGTGGTCCAGTGGTTAGGACTTCAAAGCCCTTCCAGTGCAGGGGGTGCAGGTTCAATTCCTGGTCGGGGAGCTAAGATCCAACATACCTCCTGGTCAAAAATCCAAAACATAAAATAGAAGCAATATTGTAACAAACTAAATAAAGACTTTAAAAATGGTCCACATCAAAAAAATCTTTAGAAAAAATTTTAAAAAGGAAAGGTGGGGTAGTTTCTTCGCTTAGAACCTAGACCCTGGGAAACCCAGGAGGGGGGTTTTTGGTCGGGGTCTGCAGGGGGTCTCTCCCCCTGGAGGGATGGGCATGCCCATCTGGCTCCTGATGGGTTAGTCTTTTCAGCTGCTTGGGTGTGTAAAAGCAAAAGATTGACAAGGAAAAGTAATGTGCTCAGTCACTTCAGTTGTGTCTGACTCTTTGCAAGCCCATGGACTGTAGCCCGCCAGGCTCCTCTGTCCATAGGGAATTCTCCAGGCAATAATACTGGAGTGGGTTGCCATTTCCTTCTCCAGGGGATCTTCCTGACCCAGGGATTGAACTGGTGACTCATGTCTTCTGCATTGGCAGGCTGGGTCTTTACCACTAGGCGCCATTTGGAGAAGCAAGAACGAGCCCTAATAGGTGGGGCGAGGGGAGGAGCAGCAGGTAATGAACAGAGGAAAACTCACAAGGGCGGTGTGCACGGAAGGTGAACACAGAGGTCGGGAGACCATGGGTTACAGGAAGGATGGGAATGAGACCATTCTGATCTGCCTTTAACATCAGTCTCACTGCAGCTGATCCAGAGCCCTCCTCCAGGGCCAGGCTCTCAGGACACCGCATACCTTCCCCTCGATTATGCTTGGCTGGCAAAGGCAAATCCAAACCAGAGATGCCAGGAACCTCCTGTTCCTGCTTCTATAGACATTTTCTATCTGAGTACAATGGGTTCATTTTTCTGCCCCCAATTCAAAGAGCCAAGTTTATTTTTCAGATTGCTTATTTTCATAGCAGAGTAATTACCCTGTGCTAATTAGCTTTGGGAATAAAATAAAGGAAGTAACCCTGTGCAGTGACGAAAGCATTATTTTTCAAATGAAGGCCTAATTAGTCAAGTAATTCTTTAAACTTGAAATGGAAAAAATATTGAGTTACAAAAGAGACTTCTTCACCTACCGTGTATATATACTTTCCTAGATACAATAAATGCATAGATCCTTTAAGGAAGTTACATTGGCACATTAAAGTCATGAGAGGATTAGCCAGGAGGGCTGTTCTACATACTAGAAACATTAGTTTTTGTCTCAAACTGGAACTGCAGCATAGTTATCATCTCAGATGGGTTCTGCTGAGGAAGAGGTGGGTGATGAGGGTGTGTTCTCTGAAAGCTGCACAAGGATTCAAAGACGGAACACCAGCAGGGCTCTCAGCAGGGCCCATGCGGCCTAGCTAAAAATATTTTTTGATCTTTATCAGAAAATAATAGGGACATAGGATAGGGATACATATTAGCATGGGAGACAGAGCATCCAGATGTCAGTTAGAAATGTAATGAAGTTTTGACTCAAACAATAAGGGCCAACCCCAGGACAAGGACACGCCCACGCCTGCACGACCAAGGATGACCACACACTGGACTGGCTGAGCCGGCTGGTGACCTGGGGCTCAGCTCCTGTTTGCAACTTACTAGCCATTGACCTAGAGTCACCTGACCTCTCCAAGACTGAACTTCTTGTTAAATGGGGAAAATAATCCTACTTACATCACAGGGCAGTTTTGAGATTCAAAAACGGAGACAGATATGCTCTGAAACCTGGATGAGGCTGTAAGACAAAGGAGACCAGGTGGCTATTCTCTGCGGGCTCAGAGTGGTTCCGACAACTCTGAAACCCTCTGCATCTAAACGTTTATGCTGATGAAGCCTGGGGCTCCCTGGCCGCCCATTTAGCTAATTTCTCAGGAAAATGACCCTTGTCCTCAACTGGAAGACCACTGAGTATCTAAGAGAGAGAAACAAAAGGAGAAGTTTTGACTTGGTGTAGCTACTAACACTGATGAGGATCCAGAATAGAAACCTGGTGATGGGGTTGTCCTGTCTGAGGCTCAGGCTAAGGAAATTTTAGGAACACAAGCTTAAACATGCCCTCCTTCTGAAATTCAGGAGGCCACAGAGAGCACAGCCACAGATTCCACTGCTGGTTACAACCATTGTGTCTCAGGAAAGAATCAGCTATTGGATCTACACTCATCACCCATGACTAATCATCAGTGAATCATTAAAACCCTCCTGTACCATCACTGGGGCATTCCCCATACAGTCGTCTGTGCAAAATAGCCCAGTATTAAAAGTGCATCAAATCTGATAGACTCTTTGCAATAGAAACATTAAAAAAATAAAAAAGAACACCTCTCTATAAAATGAATTGTGCTTTCTTTTCAGAAACCACAAATGGTTTGTGTTCGTAAATCTTTTTAATATATATTTGAGAGCTACGAAGCAGTCAGAATTGTTTAATATGTTTCTATCTATTTTTGAATTAACCTCCCATCTTTGGCCTTTCATGCATAGCAAACGATGAGATTCAAGAACCTTAGCTCTAAAAATTTCCAAGTTACCGTTTCCATACTTGCCTCCAGCTCACCAGAGAGCAATTGGTGGTTTCACAGGAAATCTCTCTTCTAGTCATTGGCCATTACTTCTGGCACACGCATTCCAGTTCATCAGGCTATGAAATTTGTTGGGTATATAAACAATTGGGTCTTTGAACAGGGTGATGTTGAGGGCAGGGCATTAACAAAGAAATGACAAAACCGAAACTGACAGCGCGTCCCAAGCCACAGGAGGTCTGGAATGAACAGCTGTAAAGTACTATCTCCACTGTGTCTCTGAGTTAGCACCCATTTAGATGTTAGTCTTCTACTCTATGTTCCAAACCAAACGTCTTAGTGTCAATGCAACATGATACACATAGGATTTGTTTCCCATAAGTATTACCTTTTTGGTCCCCATCAAGGTCCTTTGTATGCGATGGTATTTTTCAAGTATGATGATCTATAGCTGACATTTTATTTTGACTGTGTCATTGCTCATTCTCTGAATGCATCAATGAAAGTGAGAAGAGTATGCACTTGTTTTCTCTCTTCCGCTGTGAACAACTGTTTCTATTCTTCCAAATTTGTCTAGGAAAAGGGGTGGAGTGTTTGTTGTCATGGCCCCAAACTCCCAACAGGTTGAGCCTCACTCTCTCCAAAACTTGAGTGCTTCCAGCAGGATTAAGAAGCTCTAAGGAGCACATGCTGCTCAAGGAACCCACACCCTCTGGTCCAGAGGGGCCCCTTGAGAACAACGCTCCTATTTTGCACTTGCCCCAGGAGACCTTGTGTTCACCAACCACCTCATTTCCGAGGCTGCCGTGCAACAGAAAGACAACCCACATACAGAAGTCCTCCTGATCCAAGCGTCCGAGAGGAGATACATGCCATGTACCTATGGCCGGCGGCTCTGAGGTCTGCGAAGCTGCTCCAACAGTGGCCCCTGAATCTTGCCTTTTTGTGGGGGCAGAACTCCGAGGAGGAGGATGACGCCTGGCAACCTGGCCCAACCACGATGGCGCTTTCTTCCCATGGATGAAAGAACGGACGGTGGCGGCCGATACAGGAGAGATCCGCGGTGGGGAGGGGCAGGGAAAAAGGACGCCAGCGCCGGAGTGTCCAGAACAGCTCCCAGGCGAGGGGCAGTGGCTCTGTTTTAATCGTCTTCTCGGCACATTGGCAGGTTGACAAAGGTAAAGACGTTGAACTCTATCATTATGGAGAAGCACAAGAAGACGGCGTAGAGGACCAGCACGTACACCCCCAGCTTCCGGTCCAGCTTCCACTTGTTCAAATGGATGCCGAGGACCTGGAAGGGGACAGGGCGAGTGTTGGGCTCGGGGAGCAGAGAAATACAAAAGGCGCCTTTACTGGAAAAGTACACACTAACGATGAACCCCAGCACTTCCTCCAAAATGTGGATGAGAATAGAGGGGTGCTGCCGGGTGTATCATTGGTTTGATCAGAATAGTCTTGTAGGCTTTGGACTTATCCAATAAGAGGATGCTGACTCCAGGTACGCACAGCAGCTGTCCTCAGGGCACCGGCCCTCCCTGGGCAGGCACACCCCTTTCTGGGGATGCATAGGCTTTCCAAGCCTTCTTTAGTGACAACTGGGGTCTGCCACTGGCTCCTTCCTTTGCTTTAGAACTTGGCATCCTCAACCCTCTTTAGCAAAACCTTCAAGGCTCCCATTGGCCCACTGTCTAGACACCTTCAGTTTGGACTGCGTGTGTGTGTTTGGGAGACAGGGTTGGAATGCTTTCTCTTTCTAAATTTGTTTCATACTTGCCTACCTCCTTTTACTACCGTCTTTCTTTTAAAAAATTAATTAATTTATTTTAACTGGAGGCTAATTACTTTATGATACTGTGGTGGTTTTTGCCACACACCGACATGAATCAGCCATGGGTGTACACATGTCCCCTCCGTCCTAAAACTACTTTCTTTCTTAGCCATGAATCAAGGCTCCCCAAGAGTTGAATCATAGTTACCTCCAATGCTGTGGGTCCTTAGAGACAGACCAATAGGGGTTCAAATCCCAGCTTTTCCTATCCCTGTAGACTTCACAAAGGGAGTGGATCTTAGTCCCCATTAAAAGGTTTTAGAAATGTGGGGTCCACGAAGAAGGGATTCCTTTCTAAGCAATAGCACTAATGGGACAGTTAGGGGAAAGAACAAATATGGGTAGCCATATCCTACCCCTGTGACCTGGGACAAGTTACTTAATTCCCGAGCCTTGATTTCTTCTGCAAAGTAGAAAACCATCAGGTGCTTGTAAGGATGGACTAAAGTAAGCTGAGGCATTGCTTACCACAGTTCGGGGCCTGTGAAGTAAGGAGACCTCCGTGTCACCATGTACCAGCCCGGAGACCTGAGCATCATGCCCCTATGGCAGCTCAGGTGGGCTGGGGGTAGGGGGACGTGTCTCCTACTTGCATCATTGAGGGGAGACAGACGGGGCAGCAAGAAGAGAGGAAATCCAAGTCCCTCCCTCTGGGGACTTCTCACCAGCTCAGGGAAAAGTGTAGTGGTGGATGCCAATATTCTTGGCATAAATTGTGTCTGGGGGTATCTGTGAATTTATGTTTTTCCAGCTTAATCCCTCACGGCCAAGGGGAAGAACTCGGAGACTGTGCAGAATCGGAGGAAACCACGCGTGTGTAAAACTGCCATTCTGGAATCGTAAAAACTCACGGTGAGAGCGACGGAGCCCAGCAGTAAGGCCACGGAGTAGACCAGACCCCGGCTGTTGATCTTCACCTGGACAAACAAAGACACGTGCCCTGAACCTCTGGGCTGCTCAGGGGCCCATCTGCTCCGGGAGCCCGCTGCGCTTGGCTTATCCTTTCCCTCCTCTGGAAGCCACAGGTGGGTGTCACAGCTGAAGCACCTGTGAGTTCCAGGCAAACATGAGCTGCCTCTTGCAGGCACCCCCAGGCTGCTCTGGACGCCTCTGCACAAAGTGGCTGCCAGCCTGCAGAGGAGATGGGGGCAGTGCCTTCCCTGCAGCTCTTAGCTTCAGGGCCAACACCACACTCGCTCCTGGTAAAGCACAAGCGTCCGGTGTCATCTCACTAAGGAAGTGAGACGAACTTACCGTGGACCCATAATTAACAACCATGGTCTGCAGCCCCCACGGTATGCCGAGTCCCACGAGGATGTCGAACACGTTGCTTCCTATGGTGTTAGAGACCGCCATGTCACCAAGGCCTGCGGGGGACAACCGACAGGTTATTCCTAACCCCCAATACCTCAGAGTGTGATTTTATTCAGAGATAGGGTCTCTACAGGGCTTGCCTGGTGGCTCAGATGGTAAAGAATCTGCCTGTAATGCAGGAGACCTGGTTTCGATTCCTGGGTTGGGAAAATCCCTTGGAAAAGGAATGGCTACACACTCTAGCATTCTTGCCTAGAGAATTCCACGGACAGAGGAGCCTGGAGGGCTACCGTCCATGGGGTCACAAAGAATCGGACAGGGGTAATCAGGTTAACATGAGGATGAATCCTAATTCAGTAATGATTGGTGTTTTCATTAAAAGGGAAAATTTGTGCACAGGCCTGCACACAGGGAGAACTCCATCCGAACATGAAGACCACCACCTACGAGCCAAGGAGAGAGGCCTGGAGCAGACAGAAAGAACCAAACTTTCCAACACCTTGACCTCTAGCCTCCAGGACTGTGGGACCGTCAGTTTCTGTCTTCCTGTCTCCCAGTGTGCGGTAATTATGGCTGCCCTAGGAAACTCACCCAGAGCCCTTCATTATTTCTCCTGCAGGGGTGTCAGCCTATGTTCTGGGATGACCCACTACATGCTTCTCCTTATTTGAGATGCCCACCTTCTCTGGGAGGGAGGGGGCCTTGTCCTCGATGCATACTTGTGACCCAGGCGATGGCACCATGAACTTGACCCGGATGACAGAGCAGCTGGTCTTAGGCCTGGTTGGTCTCCCAAGAGTGGACTCTTTGCTCCCAAACAGACTAGAAGCATCTTAGAGGCGAGGGGCTACGTCATTACCTTCCCCCTCCTGCCCCACTGTCCAGTCTCCTACCAGTCAAACAGTCTTAGGAACTTAATAACTTGAGAGGCTTCAAAAGTTAGAAAACAAAGTTTCAATGCTGGCTGAAATCTCTTCTAACCTGGCTCCCTAGCCCAAATTCAACAGACAGTCATAATCTGGCCACAAACATCATGGAAAGAAGAAGCCTGAAATGCATGTGCCTATAACCATAAAGTCATCTTGGTCACTGAGCAGCTGGCAGAGACTCAGACCAGCAACCAGACGACTGCCTCACCTCTGTTCGACCACCTGCCCCCGGGTGTTAGCCAGGCTACCTTCTCCCGCCCTGTTGCTGTCATCCACTGACCTCCAGGGCACAGTGTCTCCCTGAGGGCCTCACAGATCCCTCCCGGGCCTGGGCACCTATCTGAGTGCCTTCGAAATCCTGGCAGCTTAGTCCTACTGGGGGCCGTATCTCTGGGAAACCTGCCTTCCAGTCTCCCAGGACTTTGTGAAACAGGAACGTGCAGCTCCTGTTTTTGGGCCAGCTAGTCATCCCTGGTGGGGAAGCAGGCACTAGCCAGATGGGTCAGGAGGAACCAAATGCCTGCCCGGGTCTGGGAAAGAAGAGCGAGTGTGTTCTCAGGTTGGACTGCCGGGCTCTGGGTGGGTGCAGCCCCCTAAGGAACCTTAGAGCAGCAATTCTCAGACTTTGAGAGCACATGACTCAAATTTCCATTTCCACCAACCACAGTCCAAGAGAGGTTCCCTTTTCTCCACACCCTCTCTGGCATGTATTGCTTGATTTTTTGAAGATGGCCATTCTGACCAGTGTGAGGTCATACCTCACTGCAGTTTTGATTTGCATTTCTCTAATAATTAGTGATGTTGAGCATCTTTTCATGTGCCTCTTTGGCTATCTGTGTGTCTTCTTTGGAGAGATGTGCATTTAGGATTAGGACTGACACATGTATACTGTGTGTTTGCTCAGTCGCTCAGTCGTGTCCGACTCTGTGACCTCGGGGACTGTAGCCCATCAGACTCCTCTGTCCATGGGATTTCCCAGGCAAGAATACTGGAGTGGGTTGCCATTTCCTTCTCTGGGGATCGTCCCAACCCCGGGATCAAACCCATGTCTCTTGTGTCTTCTGCATTGGCAGGTGGATTCTTTACCACTGAGCCACCTGGGAAGTCCATGTATCCGCTACCTTGTGTAAAGTAGACAGCTGGTGGGAACCTGCTATAAAGCACAGGGAGCTCGGCTCGGTGATCTCTGATGACCTGGCTGGGTGGGATGGGGTGGGAGGGGGGTCCAAGAGGGAGGGAACATATGTATACATGCAGTTGATTCATTTTGTTGAATGAACTAGCACAACACTGTAAAGTGATTATATGCCAATAAAATATTTTTTAATTAACAAAAAAGAGCAAACAACTTGCTGGGGTCTTGCTGAAAAGCAGACTTTGGTTCAGTGGGGCTGGGATGGGGCCTGAGACTCTGCATTTCTCTCAAGCCGATGCTGCCAGCCTGGACCACGCTGTGGGCTGCGAGATTTAGGGAGCCCAGGATAAAGTCTCTGCACGTTAGAGCTTACTGCACAGCTCCTGCCTCATGCAGGGGGCTCTGGACAGAGGTTTCTGCATCCTCCGCCATAAAGAATCTATGTTTAATATTGTCTGCTGGATCCTCTGTCACTCACATCAGCATCACCCTTAGGACAGCTATACACTCTCACCCCCACTTCAGCCTTCCTTTGTGTCTTTCTACATTTCACAGGAGCCACTCTGAGATGATATCCCCACCTGTTCTTGTTCCTACCGAGCCCCTTTGGACCACGCTGGGACGCTCCCCTCCCCTTCTTAATCTTCTCCTATCATGACCCCTTCCCTGACCCACTAGCCTGGACTCCAAGGCCAGTTGTTTAAATGGCACATTCTCTTGGCCCCTTGACCTTCCACTGTGTCCACCCAGCCACCCCCAGCTCTGGATGAATTCATCTGTGTGTCGTGGGAGCTGGTACAACTCCAAATTCATGCTGGAACCCCACCCAAATTCACAACCCCGAACGTCAGCCAGGCCCTCGGGGCTTATTGTTCCGTTTCCTCCCTGGACCGCGTTCAATAGCGGCCCGCGCTCATGTCCACCCAAAACCTGTGAACGTGACCTAACTGGCCAATAGAATCTTTGCAGATGTGATCCAATTAAAACGAGATCATCCTGAATTAAGGTGGGCCCTAATTCAATGACTGGTGTGTCTGTGGACACAGACACACACAGAGGGAAGAACACCATGTGAAGACACAGGCAGATACTGGAGGGAGGCAGCCACAAGCCAAGGATTCCTGGCACCCGCACTGAAGCTGGCAGAGAACAAGGAAGGATTCCTTCCCAGAGCCTCCAGGTAAGTACAGTGCTGCCAACACTTGACCTTGGACTTATAGCCTCCAGGACCAGAGAATCCATTTCTGTTGTTTTGTCACCCAGTTGGGGTACTTTGGTTTTGACAGCCCTGGGAAATGAATACACTCACCTTGAAGGTCACTCAGTTCAATTCCATCCCCCTCAGCTGCCGTCCCCAGCTGTCGCCATTCTCCTCGAGGCTCCAGCCTCCTGCCAAATATACTCCCACCCGTTCCCTTCCCCTCATTTCATCTTTTCTCAGGACTGATCAGCCAACTAACGAAACTTTCTTTCATCTTGAAGAAATGGAACATTTTCCTCCTTTCTGAACACTTTCTGTTTGGACACTTCTCTCCTGTCTCCTCTGAGATTTCACTCCACTATCTGCCCTTCCTGCCTCCCATCCTTTCACACTACTGTCTACGGAGGAAGGTCAGTGAAGTCCAGGCGTGGATGCTATCTCACTGGTAGCGAAGGAGCAGCAGAGGAAGGCTGGCTCTTCACAGCCCTTCTGTTCTGCCATCGAGGAGTGTACCGGTGTTCCTTAGCCTGCTCACCCCCAAGGCACTTAGCTCCAAAGAAAATCCACCAAGCAAACCATAACATTATATAAGTTCTAGAATTTGGAAGAGGAATCAGAAAATAGCTGGAGACATAGGATATCCCCACTTGGCCTGCCTGGGATCAGAACATTAGTGTATTTGCTCTAAAAATTCTGGGCTCCCACTCTGTTCAATCTCACACTGGTGATGTCAGAACAAGTTCATTTTTTTTGGCAACATAGCTAGTGGGATCTTAGTTCTGGCAGTGAAAACCTGGAATTTAAACCACTCGTGCACCAGGGAGCTCCCAGAACAAGTCCATTTTTATTCACCTCCACACAGATGCTTCTAGAGGTCTAGAGGAGGTGATCTTGGTAGTAATTCTCTCCATGGATGGAATCTACATGATGCTTTCCAGTCATCACTGTTTCCTCCACAGCAGGACTTAATGACTATCAGTGCTGAGAGCTATGAACTGTAACTCAGGCAGGGGGAAGGGCCCACTTGGTGATGCTGATGGCTGGGGGCCCGAGACACTATTCATACCTTGTCTCGCCACAATCAAGCTGGCCATGCAGTCAGGAACGCTCGTGCCTGCTGCAAGGAAAGTAATGCCCATGATGACATCGGGGATCCCAAGGGTGTATCCAATAATAGTCACCTGCAGAAGACGGGGGAAACATCAACTCACAGAGGAGCACCTGTGAAAACCCTGCTTACAACGCAGTGTTTTTAACTTAAACATAGTACTCCTGTATCCAACAGAAAAATCTGGAATATGGTTTCATTTTTTAAAAACTGTCCTTTGAGTATTCCTTTGAGTATTACTCATGTAATCTGGGTTTACTGTTTTAAAAAGTTAAGAAAAAAAGTTAAATGAAAGCATTAGTAAAAATCACCTACCATTTCTCAAGACCCTCAGACAACCACTATTAACACTTTTTATGAGCCAGTGAATCTTAGACTTGAAAATGTAGGAAATCCTGTAGAGAGCTGTTAAAATAAGACCCGCCAGGCCCCACCCCCAGTTTCTGATTCAGGAGATTTGGGGTAAAGTCCAGGAATCTGCATTCCTAACAAGTTCCTAGTTGGTTGAGACCCTGAGGCTGCTGACCTGGGAACCACATTTGAAAACCCCTGCTTTAGAATATGGGCTTCCCTGACAGCTCAGTTAGTAAAGGATCCCCCTGCAATGTAGGAGACCCTGGTTCAATTCCTGGGTCGGGAAGATCCACTGGAGAAGGGATAGGCTATCCACTCCAGTATTCTTGGGCTTCCCTTGTGGCTCAGCTGGTAAAGAATCTGCCTACAATGTGGGAGACCTGGGTTTGATCCCTGGGCTTTAGAATATATCCTTGACCTTCTTTTTGGTGTATGTATTAGAAAAATATGAAATCAGATTATACTATCAGTGCATATTTTGTGACTATATGTTTCATGCAATGATACATTGTGAGTATCTTGCCATCACAAATATTCATCTACAATCTTATTTTACACTGGTGCGTGGATTCCACTGCATAGCTGTAAAGTTCCTGTCCATCCATCACTGGTGGATAGGAAATGGCTTGTTTTCGTTCTTAAAATACCACTGTATTGTAACATGTAACATCATTTACTGAGCACCTACTATGTACCAGGTTCTTTCCAAGTGTTTCACTTCCACAATCTCATCTGCTCTATGCACCACCCACTGGTGAGGGAGGCACTGTTATTATACCCAAGGACATACAATGCAGGTGGGCATCAAGTCTGTGAGCAGCAGAGCAGGGATTCCAGGCCAAGTCTTTCTGACTCTAAAGTCTGCACTCCAACCTTGCCATCAGGCTTTTTTAATTGGATGGTAACTGCTCTACAAAGTTGCATTGGTTTTTGTCACTCAACAATGCAGATCAGCTGTGAGTGTATGAATGTGTGTGTTTTATATATATTATATATATACATACATATATACATAAGTGTATATATATATATATCCTTGCTCTTGAGCATCATGTTGTCTTGTGTGAACATCTCTGGGTTCTCATCTTACTATTATATCCTTAGGAAAAGTTCCAAGAAATAGAATCACTGGATTGAAGGATACACAGGCTTTTAAGGATCTTGAAACATGGTCACATAACTCCTCTAATAAATGCCTGACACTTGGGAAATGGTGAGCAGCAGCTGAATGGAAAGCCCTAGAAGCACTTGGACAACCTCACTCAAAACATCCCTTAGATGGCTCACCTCCCCATCTAGAAAATGTGAACAGCAGGATCTTTCAGGGTTGTTCACATCTCAGCTGATGGCTCCAGTCCCAGCAAACGTTTGGGTAAGCTAGTTTACTTCTTTGAGCCTCAGTTCCCTCATCTGTGAAATGGGCTTTTAAATGAGGATTAAGAGAAAAGATGAAGGGACAGTGCACGGGCTGTGTAAGACATTCACAGATGTATGTTTCCCTTCACTTCCAATCACTCATCTTGCAATCTATGGGGGCACAGAAAATGTGAGTGATTAGCCCAGATGAAGTGTGCTTTCTAAGGGCAGAGCTCAGCCCTGGAATGAAGCCAGAGCTTGTGGTCTAAAACGATATCCCTCCTAAGACAAAGCTTGCAGATGGGTTTGGAGATGCTCGACCCTAAAAGACAGTGTTCAGTTCAGCATTGCCAGGAACTGGGCAGTGCGTGCCCTGACTGACCTGCTCTGGGCTGTGCAAGAAGAAAGAGTGAGGACACCAAAGCCACACAGCTGATGCATCGGCGCTTAACCCACACTGACCACGAGGGAGGTCTCCACAAGCACAGCCTGGCTGTGGCTGACATGTTCTTAATGGGTGATACCAGATGTCGTACGTATAGGAGCCTGGGTTATTCTGGCAATAATGAGGATGCTTCCTTTGCTTTCCTTTCCTTATATAACTGGACTACCTGGCTAAGAAGCTGGAGGGTGGAAGGACATAAGGAAGGTTCTGTGTGTGTACACACAATGGCAACCCACTCCAGTATTCTTGCCTGGAGAATTCCATGGACAGAGGAGCCTGGCAGGCTACAGTCCATGGGGTCACAAAGAGTTGGACACGGCTGAGCGACTACCACTTGAACACACTCCAAGCACTCAGGACCAGAGATGCTACCTGCATATGGCTTTGCCTTGGACTCCAGCCTGGGGCCCTCTGAATTCCTGATGTTGGGGTTTCAGAAAGGGAAGCAGAGCCAAGTCCAGAGCTGGGCTGATCCGCCTGACTTTGTTGAAGTCAAACTTCCTCTTTGGTCCTCAGTCTCGCCAGTTGGGCAAAGGTCCTGGATTGGATGACTCATTTTTGAGATTCCCTCCCTTTGGATGCTGACAGTCAAGAATCGTTTTCCCCAACGCCAGGGTTGAGAGATGTGAAGGATGGTGGGGATAAAAGATGGGCAGGTGAGACGTCAGTGCTCTCTGGCGCCCCCATGAGGACATGAGGAAAGTAAGCGCCTGGCCCCTGGCACATCTTGCTTTCACAGAAATCAGGCTAACCTGGCACTGTTGTCTTTACCACTTTCTACTGTGGAAACCACTCAATTACCCGAAACTGAGGCCAGCTGAAGTTCCAAATCACAGGTGAGAGTGCCGCAGCAAGGTGGTTCCTATGACTCTGGCCAAGCCACTGCCAAGACACTCTTTTAAGAAGCAGGAATGGGGTTTATAAAACAAGGTGAGGGGGATGGGAATGTTATTCAATGTCCTACCTCACAGCTAATTAGTAGAACGATTTCATAATACTATTGTTTTCATTAATTAAAAAGAAGAAAAAATTTCACACATTCATTAATTTGATCTTCCCTAACTCTCACACCCACTCAAATGTCATGAAATACTTTTTTCACTTGCAAAATTGCTTGTGGAATGCACTTTAGTAAAAGAAATTGGTGGGTCCTTTTATCAAAATGTAAGCACGGGCTGGCCTTTAACCCTACTCAGTAGTCATGTACAGATGTGAGAGTTGGACCCTAAAGCAGGCTGAGTGCTGAAGAATTGATGCTTTCCAATTGTGGTGTTGGAGAAGACTCTTGAGAGTCTCTTGGACTGGAGGGAGATCAAACCAATCAGTCCTAAAGGACATCAACCCTGAATATTCATTGGAAGAGCTGATGCTGAAGCTCCAATACTTTGGCCACTTAATGCCAAGAGCTGACTCACTGGAAAAGACCCTGATGCTGGGAAAGACTGAAGGCAAAAGGCGAGGAGGGCGGCAGAGGATGAGATGGTTAGATGGCACCACCAACACAATGGATATGAATTTGAGCAAACTCCGGGAGATAGTGAAGGACAGGGAAGTCTGGAGTGCTAAAGTCCATGGGGTCACAAAGAGTTGGACACAACTCAGTGACTGAACAACAACAACATCTTTGACTGTCATCCTTTTCTGGCAGGGGTGGGGTCTGTTAGTTGCTATTTCCAACTTCTTTTCTACATAAAAACACACACCTTGGCATCTATGGGGATTTAAACCTCTATCTGAATAAGCTTGGAAGCAGTGTCGGCTGCATCTCATGGTGAACATGGCTGATATTTACAGTTATGATCAATTTGCTATGTTGCTAGCTCACACCTGATGCCTGAACAGAACCCTTTCATCTCCCAATAACCTGCAGACAGTGGTGATCATGTCCATTTCGCAGAGGGGACAACTGTGGCTCATGGAAGCTGAGTCACCTGTCCAGGTTTCATGGCTCCAGTGGGGAGAACCAGGATTCACAGCCAGTTCCATGGGACCTCACAGCTGCTCTTCTCCCACCAAACTGTTCCTCTTGGGTTAAGAGAATGTTGCTCTTGTGCCTCTGAGGCCAACACACACCTTTGCCCTGTGTGTTAGGCGGCATCAGGTGTTAGGAGGAGAGTGAAATGGCTGCATGGAAACTACTGAGGTGTGAGTGGCTTGCAGGTGAACTTCACAGTAGAAATGCAGAGGTTCTGTACCCGCTTTTCTCACTGTTCAAGGCTACCCAGGTGGGTGAAAGGAAGAGGGGGAACCCCACAAGATGATATACAGAGTGAGAAAAAGGGGGCTCCTGTTTGGCCCCACCCCACCAGTGAAAGGTTTGCCCAGGGAGCAGTCATGTGGGGCCAGAGGGGCCATGCCAAAGCCTCTCTGCCTGAAGATTCTAAGAGCAAACTGAGAGGCCATTCAGATGAGTGGCTGAGATCTTAGACTCTGGAGATCAACACCCAGGTTCTAATCCCAACTCTAGAATTCACTAGCTGTGTAACTAGTTGTGCAATAGTTGCTAACTGTATAACTAACTGGACAAATGACTCAACCTCTATGCCTCAGGTTCCTCACCTGTAAAATGGGCACAGTATAACTGCTTACCCCATTGGGTTATTGCGAGGACTAGAACAGTTTGCCTAAAGTTTATATCTGTGCCTGGACATAGGAAGGGGAGCAGAACATCCCTGGGCAGGGGCCATGGAAAGGGACCATGTTTGTCTCCCTCCCACTCCAGTCTCCCTCACATTCCTCTACAGATGCTGAAAAGGAAGGGGGCCTAGTGATTAACCCTCCAGAGTTCTTTCTAGAGAGTGTCTGCCATCCCTGCCACATTCCTCTTCCCATCACTCCAGGGTGACATGTCCCAGGCTGTCCATGTGAAGGTTACCCTCCCTCCCATGGACACCATGGACCATGCTGTGTCTCTCTGGGTGTCCGTGATACACAGCACAGCTTCTTAAGACTCTGCTGAAACCCTTTCCTACTGAGAAATAAGCCAAGGTCTGTTGAGGTAGGTGGGTTGCTGAAGGTGACCCAGCAGGGCCTGTGGTCACTCTTGATCCTAGCTCTCCCACCTCTGGCAGATGCCGGGCAGGGGCTGTCCGTACAGTCCACCCCCTCTCCCGCCACTCACCAGCCACACCATCAGGTAGGAGAAGACAGCGATCCACAGCGTGGCGATGACGAAGGTGAGCATGAAGAACTTCTCCCAGCGGGGCTTGCTGCAGTTGGGGATGGTGATGCACAGGAGGAAGATGAGCGGCCAGGTGAACACCCACTTGACTCTGTCCCCTCTTGCCTCTGCAGAGGGATGGGGTGGAGACAGAAGGGGGAGAAATACACACTAGGTTACACACCTCCAGTCTACCTGTAGGTTTATTTTTTCACGCCAAACAAGAAAATGCTATGAATAGGCCTCCCAGCAACGGACTTCGCAGAATGACAGAGCTCCGTATTGTCGACCTGGAAGTGATCTCAGTAAAACAGTTGACTGTTTGTTGACTGAAAACCCACTGTCAGTCCAAATCCTTCATTTGACAGGATGAGTAAAATGAGACCCAGAGCTGGAACAAATTTGTACAGGACAGCTGGAATGGGATGTTGACTATGAACAGGCTTTAGAGTCAAACTTGCAGTTGGAATTCAAATGACCTTGAGCAATCCCCTCAACTCCACTTCCTCTTCTGACAATAACAGATGTAAGTGACAACACAATAGTTGATGCAGGGAATATTTGCTATGTGAAGCAGGTATAATGCTAAGCATTTTGCATTTTAGTAGTTTCCTCTGCTAAAAGGGAACATTACCCCTTTCTTGATTGCTGCAAAAATGACATGATGCAATGTATGTAAAACACCCAGCACAAAGAACTTGGCAAAGAAGGTGCTCTAGAAATCTCAGCTCATTTGCTCCAAGGTCATATACTCAACCAGTGGCAGATGCAAGACTAAAATGTGGTGTTCTGCTGACAGGTATGACCTCACTGACCCCTACCAAGAGAACCCACAAACAATTTAACTGAGGAAAAGTGGCCACTGAGTACAAGCATAGTGTAATTATCCTTAATTAGTGGCTTATCCTTAATAAGTCACTGGGTATTTTGAGCACACGCACCCTCAAAACAGGCTTGTGGGTGATGCCAATGATTTGGTGGAGGAAGGACCTCTGAAAATTCTCTCCTCCATAAAAGCAATGAAAACATTAGCAAAAATGGTCTGAATCAACTTGTTTAGAACTCTGGAAATTAACCAAAGCCTTGTAGCCATCCAGGGAGTGTTTATTTAAGAAAATAATCTGGGTAAAAGTAACAACAGTGAGCTTTATAGAGTTTTAACTTGCCTTGTTTTCATTTTCTTTCATCAGCTTTGGAGCAGTCTTGAAAAACCAGTAGCCTGGCATCCACCAGAGGGGGAAGGACAGGATTAGAGCTCCTTCCAAGTCTGTTCCCAGAGGACTGGCATTTTCTGACCTGTCTGCTGGTTTCCTGGAAGACCCTACTTTTAAGGTGTCTTTATTTTACCTGAATCAGAGCTCATGCAGTATGAATAGCCTTTTCCTTGAGGGCATTTGTTGAAAACTATCAGAGACAATTGTTGAAAACTGTGCTGCCTGCAGTGGTGGAAAACAGCTGGACAAACAATAGGTTAATGAAAAAGCTTAAAAGGAAAAGCTGGGAATGAGATATCCCTAGAGGACTTGGAAAAGCTCCCAGGTAGTTCTAGGAATATGAAATTTCATGAGAGGCATAGGGTTGTTCCCAGGGTTATTTGCATTCTTAGGAAAGACTTGGCTTCCTGGGTGGCTCAGTGATAAAGATTCTGCCTGCCAATGTAGGAGCCACAGGAGATGTGGATTTGATCCTGGGTCGGGAAGAACCTTTGGAGGAGGAAATCCACTCCAGTGTTCTTGCCAGGATAATCCCATGGTCAGAGGAGTCTGGTAGGCCCCAGTCCATGTGGTCGTAAAGAGTTAGACAGGACTGGGCAACTAAGCATGCAGGAAAGACTTGAGAAGACCTTAAGCTTTCACTTCTGCCTAACATTGAGACTCCGAGAAAACAAGAAGTAAAGGCTAAGGTGGAGTTGTAAACTGCCTGAGTGTTAAAGGCGTGCCCCCAAACACACATAGAACCCAGCAAAGAGAAGGAGACTTGTTTTGAGCCAGGCATCTAAAGAAATCTCTGTGTAATCATTAGCAGATATTTCAGGGGTCACACAACAAACAGTATAGATTTTACAGAATTAGAAAAATCACCAAACAACAACAACAATAGTAAAGCAACAACAAACAGCCATGGGAATGGGAAAGAATCTGATTTCTTATTATTACTTCACGTTATATTATTTTAAATGCCCATTTCATCAACAACAAATTATGAGACATGCAAAGAAACAAGATAACACAGCCCATACACATGAAAACAGCAGCTAATAGAAACTATCCCTGAGGAATTCTAGACATTGGATTTACTAGACAAAGGCTTCAAATCAGCTGTATTTTAAAATAGCTGATTTAAAATGTGCACAAAGAAGTTTTAAATATGTCTCAAAAATAAATGAGAAGTATAGGAATGATTTCTCATCAGAGAATATCATTAGAGAAGTAAAAACTATAAAAAGAACCAACAGAAAGTTGAGAGGGGTTGAGAGGTACAATAACTTAGGTGAAAATTTCACTAGAGGGGCTCAACAGCAAATCTGTGCAGGAAGAAGAAAAATATCAATGACCTCAGAGATAGGTGAACTGAGATCTAGTCTCAGGAACAAAAAGAGAGTAAAGAAAAATGAACTGTGTCTCAGAGACCTGTGGCACACCATCAAATATGCCAATGTAGGCATAATGAGAATATAAAAAAAAACAGGAGAGAAAAAAGGGGGCAGGAAGAATACTTGAACTCATGCTCAAAAATTTTGCATATCTGATGAAAAACATTAATATATACATTCAAGAAGAAGACACCTTCTCAAGTTCACATGGAACATTCTATAGGATAGATCATATGTTAGGTCATAAAACAAGCAACAATACCTTTGATTTGATTTAGTCACTAAGTTGTGTCCGACTCTTGCGACCCCATGGACTGTGGCCTGCCAGGCTCCTCTATCCATGGAATTCTCCAGGCAAGAATACTGGAGTGGGTTGCCATTTAAGTATTTAAATCATGTAAAGTTTATTCTACAAACTTTCCACATTGGAAAGAAATTAGAAATTAATAACAGAAGGAAAACTGGAACATTTACAGATACGTAGATATTAAATAACATACTCCTAAACAACCAATGGTTCAAAGAAGAAATAATAAGGGAAATTAGAAAATACTTTGAGATGAATGAAAATGAAAAGAGAACACACCAAAACATATGGAATGAAGTGAAATCAGTGCTTAGAGAAAGATTTATAGCTATAAATTCCTATATTAAAAAGGAGGAAAGGATTTAAATCAATGACCTAACTTTACACTTTAAGAAACAAAAAAAAAGCCAATTAAGTCCAAAAAAAGAAGAAAGAAAAAAAATCAAGATTGAAGCAGAAGTATGTGAAATAGGAAAAAAAAAAATCCCAGAATCAATTAAATGAAAAATTGGTTCTTAAAAAGATAACAAAATTGACAAATCTCTAGATAGAGTGACCAAGAAAAAAAGAGAAGACTCAAATTACTTAAATCAGGAACTAAAGAGGGATTCCACTATTAATCTTACAGAAATAAAAAGGATTATTAAGGAACACTATGAACAACTATGTGCCAAAAAATTAGGTAACCTCGGTGAAACAGTAAAAACATTCCACAAAGACAGAAACAAACTGACTCAAAAAGAAACAGAAAACCTGAATAGACACATAACAAGAAACTGAAACAGTAATCAGAAAACTTCCCTTAAGGTAAAGACAGGACCAGATGGTTCATGGGTATTTCCACCAAGTGTTTAAAGAAGAGTCCTTTGCAAAGTCTTCCAAAAGATAAAGAAGGAGAGAACACTTCCCAGTTTGCTCTATGAAGCCAGTAGTACCCTGATACCAAAGCCAGACATCGAGAAAACTACAGACCAATATCCCTTAGGAATATAGATGCAAAAATTCTTAAAATTCTGGCAAACTGAATCCTGCAACACATAAAAAGAATTATACCCAAGGCTATGGTTTTTCCAGTGGTCATGAATGGTTGTGAGAGTTGGACTGTGGAGAAAGCTGAGTGCCCAAGAATTGATGCTTTTGAACTGTGGTGTTGGAGAAGACTCTTGAGAGTCCCTTAGACTGCAAGGAGATCCAACCAGTCCATCCTAAAGGAGATCAGTCCTCGGTGTTCATTGGAAGGACTGATGATGAAGCTGAAACTCTAATACTTTGGCCACCTCATGCGATGAGTTGACTCATTGGAAAAGACCCTGATGCTGGGAGGGACTGGGGGCAGGAGGAGAAGGGGATGACAGAGGATGAGATGGCTGGATGGCATCACTGGCTCCATGGACATGAGTTTGAGTAAACTCCGGGAGTTGGTGATGGACAGGGAGGCCTGGCGTGCTGCGATTCATGGGATCGCAAAGAATCGGACACGACTGAGCGACTGAACTGAACCAAGTGGAATTTATCCCAGGAATGTAAGGTTGGTTTGACATATGAAATTCAATCATACACTACATTAACAGAATAAAGGATGAAAAAGCACAATCCTCTCAATTGATACAAAATTCAACACTCTTTTATGATAAAACACTTAGCAAACTAGGAATAGAAAAGCATTTCCTTAGCTTGATAAAGGGCACTTACAAACACCTGACACTTAACATCGTATTTAATGGTGAAAGGCTGAAAACCTTCAACGAGATGAGGCTCTCTGCTCTTAGAACTTCTATTCAACACTATTTTGGAAGTTTGAGTCAGGAACTATAGGCAATTCCTCAATACGTCCCACAAAAATCTGTACTCAAATATATATAGCAGCACTTTTCATAACAGCCCCGAAGAGGAAACAACCCAAATAACCATGAAGTTATAAATGGAGAAACAAAATGCAGCATATAAATCAATGGAATGTTTTTCAAGCATAAGAAGAAATGAAGCATTGATACTACATTGCATGGATGAACCTATAAGACACTGTATGAAATGAAAGAAGCCAGGACTTCCTTGGTGGTACAGTGGATAGGAATCTGTCTGTCAATGCAGGGCCCATGCAGCAGGGAAGACCCAGTATAGCCAAAAATAAATAAACAATTAAAAAATTATATGGTGGTGAGGTTGCACAACTTTGTGAACATACTAAAAAAACATTGACTTGTATACTTTGTAAGTATGAATTTTAT